TGGACTTGAGACCTGGGAGGTGGGGGAACCAGAGTGCCTGGAGAAAAAACCCATATTTAACCCCATACAGAAAGGCAGATATATTAACCTTTCTTTTTGTTTTGCGAACACCTTACCATGCAATCTTTACATGTGGTTTGTCGCTGGTTTGTTGTTCAGGTGACTCTGTAACCTTACAACTTCTTGTGATGGGTTTAAATATTCTTGAGAAGAAGTCTGTAATCCTCCTCATGTATTTCCTTTTTGATTTCACCTCTACACAATGTAAAGAATTTTCAGTTTGACAAGAAATTTCTTTGTTTATTATGCACGAGGTAATGTTTTTGAAGTGGCCTATGTCGTTTTTTAAGGGATTTCCTGACTGAATGTTTTTATTTAATTTGTCTGGAAGATTGAGAGTGAAACATTTCAAACTTTCTTCAGTTGCAGGTTTCACACTCAGACCCTTAAATCCATCTTTAATACTTCCTTTGTTCTTTTTAGAACTGTTATTCCCTTGATCCAAGGTATTGTTTGAACTGGAAGTACATGTGCGTTTTAAGTCCATAGAACTGACTGGGCTATTGTGTCTGCATTTTACAAATGTTCTACGAACATTTATGACAGACGATCCATTGTCAGATTTTCGTTCTTCCGAATTTTCTGCATTTTTATTTGTAGTTGGGATCTTAATGGGATCTAAATGCATGGACTTTTCACTTTCGCAGTCCAGAGGACTGGGTGAGAGCTTGTTTTTGCATTTTACAAATATTCGACCAACATTTATGACAGATGATCCATTATTGCCATGAGAAAGTGTTGTGTTGAAAGCAGGAACGCATGTTTCAACAGAAGTCTTGTTGTTATATTGTACTTTCTCACAAAGAATTTCTGGTGGGCCTTTCCACGGGACGTCCGTTTCAGATGTTTGTTCTTCCGAATTTTCTGCATTTTTATTTGTAGTTGGGATCTTAATGGGTTCCAAATGCAATGACTTTTCACTTTTGCAGTCCAGAGGACTGGGTGAGAGCTTGTCTTTACATTTTACAAATACTTGACGAACATTTATGACAGATGAGCCGTTTTTAGCATCAGAATTGTGGGCCATTGTAGTGGAGGCTGGAACACATGCCTCGGTGTTATGGTCCATACCCTCTTTCTTAAAAGAGTTTCTGGGTGAGCTCCTAAGTTGGCATTTTTCTAAGATTTGATAAGCATCGGCCACATAAGCATCATTGCTGGCACCAGCAAGGTGGGCCATTGTAATAAAATCATGCTTTAGTGCATCAGCTGGGAGAATCCTGTCAGCTGGATTGATTCTTTGTGTTTGCCTAATAAAATCTATAAAACATTCTAAGTCTTTAATTTTATTGGGATCATCAGTTTTTGGTGCCTTTTTCTTCAAATCATCCAGAGACTGAAACCATTCGTAATAACTGGTTTTGACAGTTGCAATTCCTGTTATTTGCAAATATTCTTCTGCTGTTTTCAGTCTCCAAACAGGATCTGGGCTGTTCTGATCCTGTAGAAAATAATCACCAACGCGCACGCCATTGTCCAGTAATGTTTTGTCAGGCATACCATGCAGCTTTATCATGAGTTCCAAGGTTTGTACAGCAGAACTTGCTGGATACATGTGCTTCGAGAGGAATAGATAAACCAACACACATCCAAGACCCCACATGTCGATGCTTTCATCTTTAGGGGAGCCCAGGTAAACCTCAGGTGCTCTATAACTAGGCGCTTGCAAAAAACTGCGCTGTGTTAATTCTACAGTTGAGCGAGCGAGGCCAAAGTCGATTAACTTCACCCTGAAATGTGTTTTTTCATGATTGATAATCATTATATTGTCTGGTTTGATGTCTGTATGGGTAATGCCCAGTTGTTTTAGTGCGTTGAGCGCAACGGCCATCTGTTCAGCAATCGGTCGGATTTCTGAAATGCTTAGACTTTGGGGATATTTTATTTTTGACCAGTCGAACAAACTCAATTCTAATAACTCGGACACAAAGCAAATGTTTTCTTTGTACAAAAATTTGTCTAAATACCTGATTATGTTGATTTTGTCCACATCGACTTCTGTGAGTTGTTTGAGTATTTTGGCTTCTCGTACAGCTGAATATTGGTTAGATTTATTTATTAATTTTATTGCTACAAATTCATCTGTAAAGCCTTTTCTGAATTTAAAAACGTTACCATATTTCCCCTGTCCAAGATATTGAACCAGGTGGTAGACAGTACCATTACGGCAGAGGGTAAAACATTTCTCAGAAACATTTTCAGATGAATTTGTGGCATTTTTTGAGTCTTTGTCTGGTTCTTTTGATTTCTTGTCTTTATTACTACTGTCATCTGAATCTACGCTCACAGATCCGCACCCAAGCATCAATCTATACGCTGAAATTCTATAGCGAGTACGATTGCTCTTTTTAAGGTGGTCCATTGTGATAAACCTATGTTTCAGTGCACAGTTTGGCAAGACTCTGTCCTGTGGATTTAATTTTAACAGAGTTTTAAGGAAATCTATAAATGCTTCCAGATCCTCTAGTTCACATGACTCCAAGCCTGTATGTGTTTGTTTTAAATCATCTAGTGACTCAAAGTTTTCGTAAGGGCACACAGTGGGTTTAATTCTCTTTCTGGTTGTTTCGTAATATTCTTCCGTTGTTTTAAACCTCCATGTACCTTCCTTTTTATCGTGCGTAAAATAGTACTGCGTTTCCCAGCATTTGTTAAATACAGAATCGTCTGGTTTGCCGTGTAGTTTAATGACGAATTTCAAATAATGGTACACACAGTCCGTTGGATACAAACCTTGACCAAGAAACAGATGTGCCAACGTACAGCCAAGACTCCACGTATCAATGCTGCTGTCCAGCGAACGATCCCAGAAGATTTCTGGCGCGCTGAATCCCCAACGCAGCGGCTGAGTGGTCTCTGATAATTTTAGCGTTTCGACGGCGTTCCCAAAACCTGCCAGTTTCACTCTGAACGGCTGAGAGAGGTTGTTCACAAATAAGATGTTCTCAGGCCGTATATTTGTGTGAGTGATCCCAGCAATTTTTAATGCTCTGAGAGCTGCGAGCATTTGTTTGGCAATTCCTCTGATTTCAATTAGCTTAAAAGGTGTACAATTTCGTTTTCTCATGAAGTCTTGTAAGTTTAAATCAAGATGTTCAAAAACAAAACATTCACAATCCTTAAATGTGAAATTTTCAATAAACTTAACTATGCGGTCTCTGTCAGGATCTCGATTTCTGAGACTATTTAATGCATGGACTTCTTGTTCTTCTGCACGGGAATATTTGTTTTTCTTTCTGCATTTCAAAACAAACATTTCTTCACTTTTGTTTTTTCTGCAAGTAACGACGTCTCCAAATTGTCCATGTTTTAAGACTTTTACGATGTTATAAACGCTCGACTTGTCTTTAATAGTGGCACCGATTCGTGCTTGAAAAACTGACCTTTCAGTTAAATCTGAAGCAAAGTTTTTCGCGTTTTTGGCCATTTTCAAACGTTAGAATTTTACTGGAACAAGTTAAATCAGCTGATTCCAAACCGTGTTCCACCTCTACGACTTTTGCAAGTGATGTATCAACAGATACCGAGTACACTTTATATAAGAGATGATGATGTCATCGCAACAAAGGATCGAAACACACTTTGATCTGAGGTGATGTCATCATGCATCATGGAACACAGGAACTGCAAATATGGTCGTTATTTTTTTTCAAATCTTTT